ATTCATTTCACAGTTCTCAGCAAGGTTTCTAGTCACCCCCTGTGGCCAAAGCCAACAGAAGCTTTCTTTCCTTCAGCTCACTTCCCCACTCAGCTGCTCTCAGTACAGCCGACCTTCCCTATGGAAATGCTCTTCTCGGTTTCTAGACACTGTGCTCTCTTGGTCTTCCTCCCAATTCTCTGGCCATTGCTGTCTCCTTTGCAGCTACTCTTCCCTTTGGAACCTGAAAATCTCTCTCTAGCTGATCTCATCTATTCCCATGGTTTAAAACACCATCCATAATCAGATGACTCCTAGACTTGTATCATCAGCCCAGTGTTCTCTTCTGACTTGTACATCTAACTACCTTCCTGACATGTCCACTTTGATGCTTCATGGGTAGGCAAACTCAGTCTCAAACTTAGCAAGTATAAACCTCAATTCTTATGTATTTTTTAAATAATTTCTCTCCCAATCTGTTTATTTCCTCATCCATGGCCCCACCATTCACTCAGTTACTCAAAAACCTAGTCACAGGCCAGTAGGTGATGTGGTGGTTAAGAAAGCTAGATCCCACGTGACCAGCTGTGCAGTTCGAGTCCCAGACCTAGCAGCTTGAAAAACACTCCAGGCATGTATGCCTGTGTGCCCAAAATCCCAAGAGGAGAATGGAGGAGAAGGGATTGAGGCATGGTCACCCCCCAGGAGGTAATTTTTCACTTTCTCTCTCTCTCTTTCTTGGTCTCTCTCCAGTGAGTACACCTGTCCTTTAACAAAACGAAAACAACAACAACAACAAATGTAGTCATTCTGGATTCTTCCTTATCCTCCAGCTTTCACCATCAGTAAGCCTTGTCATCTCTACTTCCAAGATATTTTGTAATTACTTCATATCCCCATTGTCCCTAGTTTATACCCCCCAGCTCTCGCTGGATCACTGTGGCTGGATGATTGCAGCAAGACCTGGCTGAACTCCAGCTGTCTCCCCACTTCTGCTGTCATCCATTCATCACCCAGGAGCCAGATGTGCTCTTCAGATGTCAACAGAGGGACCAGCAGTTGGCGTAATGTCCATGTCACTGGACTCCCATGTAGTCGACTGTGGTTCAAGTCCCAGACCCAGTGGCTTAAACTCATGCCGGGCGTGTGTGCATGCGTGCCCAAGATCCCAAGAGGAGAGTGAAGGAGAAGGGATTGCGGCATGGCTATCCCTCCTGGGGAGTAATTTCTCGCTTTCTGTTTCTCTGTCTCTCTCTGTCTTTCTGGAGAGTACATGCACCCTATAGCAAAAACCTCTCAAAAAAAAAAAGTCATCAACAGAACTGTGTCACATCCCACTTAAGAGCCTCAAAGATGACACCCTTTACCTATGACCTTTGAGGTCCTGGGTAATCTGGCCCCCACTGACCTCTCCTACTTTCCCTTTCTCTCTTTCTTCACTTATTCTCAGTCATGCTCTCTTCCTCTCTGGTCCTCAAACACCCCGAGTGTGGCTCCAGTTCAGAGCCTTCCTACAGGTTGTCCCCTGCCTGCTGGCCTGTTCTCAGCAGGATGAAAGTCCCCACCAGGCTGGACTTTCATCCCTTGAGTCTGGTCTTTAGTGCTGGATCCTCCGTAGTGGTGGGGCTCCTATGCTCCCTGATTTGTGTTCCCGTTTCCTTATTTACATGTTACCAGTCTCCCTCTGCTAGACCGTGAGCTCCAGGAGTCTGGGCCCCTGCCTGCCTTACTCACTCACCACTGTATCACCATCATCTAGGGTGATGCCTAGCACATAACAGAAGCTCAGGAAATACCTGTTGGTTGAATGAGTGGCAAATGGATTTATAGGAAAGGTGTTTTGTAGGCGGTGCTTCCCTTAGAAGGAAGAGAAAACTTTGGCCAGGTAGAAAGGAAATGGGGGTGCAGCAGGACCTGCTTCACATCCTGATCTCTACGCACTGCCCTCAATTACAGGTGAGGGTCTGGTTCCAAAATCGCAGAGTCAAGTATCAGAAGCAGCAAAAGCTCAACACGCCGGCCATGTCTGCTGTGGCTGCCTCCCCGGACGAGCCCTCCAGCAGTTCCGACACCAGAATCCACAGTGAAGACGCTGAGCCAGGTGTGGACGGCTGACTGGGACAGCCCCGCCACTCGGGCTGTCTGGGCTAGCTCTTCCTGAGGATACCCACTGGACCTCCCTGCCCACATCTCAATGAAGAGCATCACCAAGGCCAAAGGGCAGGGGAACAGAACTGTCAAGCAGGCCCCCAAAACCCTTTTTTAGTTGACCCTTTGGAGTTTGGAATAATGTAAATGGGCAGTCATAGACTTTGGCCTTCAGCTATGTCCTTGGCCAAATTACTGAAATTCTGAGCATTTTTCTCCTGCTGTATATTGATAACAGGCCTTTCAGAGCTGAGACGATGTCTGGAAAGCACTTCCAGTGTCCCAGGCCCAGTGCTAAGTAACCGTGAAGGCTTACAGACCCCCCTCATCTGGGGGGAGTAGTCCCTGTCCCCACCCTGCTTCCCAGGGGTTAATCTTTTCCTGGCCTGGCTGAGGAGAAGAGGTCTCCCTGGATCAGTGCCTGGACAGAGAAGAATCTTCCCCACCAGAGTTGGTGGAGGTGAGAGCAAAGAGGAAGAGAAGTAGACCGTTTTGGCCACCTCTCCTTGTCCTTTCCCAGTTTTCTTGTTTGGTCTGAACTTCTACAACCTCAGAGGCCCAGCTGCCTCCTCAGAGCAACATCCTACACTAACCACCGCCTTGCCTCCAGCTCCCCTCTCCAACTCCACCTCTTGATACAGAATACAGAAATTTGACTGTCTTTGCCAAGGTGGGCATTTGGTCATCAATTCTGTTGTATTTTCACAGGACAGTAACAGTTATTCTTTTCTCCCCGTCATGACCCTAGCTCATGGCTCCCTTTCCTTCCCAGGAATCTGCTTGGTTTCTCTGGAAGAAGCCTGTCTCCAGCCTGTTCAGAGTTGATTTCTGTAGCACAGACTGCTCAGAATCTAGAATGGTTGGTTCCTGGGTAGGGGATGGGAGGTGGGGTCGAGGTGAGGGGACAGACGGAGGTCTGCCTGCCACCTGGTGGTGAGAGAGGGTGTAGTCTCCGGCTGCAAGATTGGGGGCCGGCGAGGGGTGCGTGGGAGGGAGACAGGGAGGAAGGCATTCTGGAAAACCGGCTGCGCCCAAGGCAGTGGACCATCCTCTCCTGGACACCAGATGGCAGACTTGAGAGGGACCAAGGAGCCCAGCAGCACTCACCGCTTCCAGGAACTACTGACATATGTATATGAATGTAATCAGTCACCTATTCAGCAGTCACTGGGCTCCACGAGACCATAACAAATGCAGGCACAGATTCGTTTTCAAGGAACACAGAATCAATTGGACAAAGAAACAAAAAGGCACAGTGGTCAGGCCGAGCGGTGGGGACAGATGCTACAGGTCAGTCGCTTGCTGAGAATAGGCGTTTGCAAACAAAATCCTGCTAGACTTGGTAGGATGGAGATAGGCGAGGTGAGGAGCTTCCAGGTGTACCCTAGTCCTTCCCCGCAGACTGAGGGTCGGAGAGGATGTGGACAGTCTGCCTTCCGCCGTCCCAGCCCTCCGCTGCGTCCAAGGCCGGGTCCAGAGAGCGCTTTATTCAGTAAGACCGACCACGGTGTGGACAGAAACATGCGCAGTAAACACAATAACTCGAACGCGCACACCCAAAGCTACGAAAGCGTAGACGGATACGAAGGTGCACGCTGACCCCGAAGACATCGATAGGCACAATAGCGCACAGATGAGAAAGCACACAGGCAGGCCCAGCTATGCCCGGTAACACCCGATTCAGCCAAACCCTCTCACTCAGCACCGTGGACACTCGCGCCGGGGGCGGGGCCGCAGAGGGGCGGGGCCGCAGAGGGCGGGGCCTCCTAGGTCGAGGCAGGGTCAAGGGTCAGAAGGAGGAGGCGCGCCCAAGATGGCGGCCTCCATGTGCGACGTGTTCTCTTTCTGCGTGGGCGTGGCTGGCCGGGCCCGGGTGGCCGTAGAGGTCCGTTTCGTGAGCAGCGCCAAGGTGAGGCTCAGCGGACCCCGCCGGGAGCCCCTAGTCCGTCCGGCCTTGGAGACAGCCCCGCCGGACTCCCTTC